TAACAAACACGTTCGGATCGAAGTGAAAACTGAGTAAGTTCCCGATCCTGGCCGTAAAAGCGGTCGTAAAATGAGCACAACCTCGTTAACGCAAGCACTTCTCTCCCCAACGATACAATAAAGATACTTATTGAAATAACCACACCTTTCTCTGTACATTTAATGACTAAGATTAAGCGGTTTATTAAACACAACTCTAATTTTATATTTAAGTCAATCAGAATGTTAAAGTGAATGTAATAACCATAAGCAATCAGGCGGAAATTCTGCGATTTTTCTTCGGCAACAGTGTTTTGATTTTCAAAACGTTGAATTTAAACAATTATTCCATCGAAATTTTGTTTTTGCTGTGTGTTGCAGAATGCGACAAACGTAAACACCTCAAGTATTCATGGATTATGTTGCGGTTCATTTGAAATATTATAAATCGTTAATAACATCTTATTTATATTTGAATATTCAATCAATATTGGTAAGAATGTTTAACTGCTATACGTACAATTTGTCGTTAAGTTTCTTATCAAAGATAATTAGGCTTCAAAAATCATCTCAATGTATTTTTCAAAAGTCTCTGGTCTCTACCTACTTCTTTGGGTTACGGGTGTGAGTCATATAGGTATTGTGATATATATAAAGCTACTTAGCGCTATCCTGAAAGATTAAACATTCCAAGAAGATTGTAAAAGTATATTTTTGGACTTGGAAAACTGTGTAAAAACCTAATATTGTGATTTTTTTAACCCTTGATAACACGGTTGTCTTATCTCTCTTAGTAACAATAGATATATTATGTATAATTCTATATGAATTCTGAAGCTAAAAGGTTAAATAACATGAACAATATTTATTATGTATTGATAAACTATTGAGTTTTATGTTTATAAAAACACAGGTGATAGGATATTTGGTAAAAATACGAATTTACTTATCATGTTCGTGGCGATTGCTTAATTGTTAATGTTTATTCTTTCTAATTTAAGTTAAATAAAACTCTACGTTAAATAAATAAGCTTCATAAAATTATTACATTATAAAGATTGGTCCACTTTTATATTTATATAGCTGTCGCCCCCGACTCCGTCTATGTGTTCCAGACTTTTTAGATCGATGGCAAATTTCAGCGATATCTGTTGAGCCATTCCGGAGATACCTACAAACAAACATCCATCCATCTAAATATCGCATTTATAATATTAGTAGGATTTTTTAATCAGGAAAAACAATCAGCATTTTTTGTATAGGGTCGCTATGCTGTACATTTCTGTTAGGTTTAAGTTTAAAAGTCATAAAAGAAATCGCCATAAAGCTATAAAGGAGGGAGAGAAATATATGAAATGCATGAGTGTTTTTAGTTTTTACGTATAAATTAAGTAATATAAAATAAATTTAATAAAATAATAACTAAGTTGCTAATTACTCTTTTTAAGTGTAGGAGGAAACTGTAATCGAAATAATAATAACATTTTTTTCTAATAATTACTTGACTCTTAAGTTATCAGCGCATATTATTATGATTTAAAAAGCTACGACCTTAGTTTATCAAATTATTTACCGAAGATTAACAAAAATTACACTACAGTTTACAAAGGCACAGATAGTTTACGCGACTAACTTAGGAAGGTAATGTTTTAGCGGACGTGAATTAAGTGTTTAATTATCATTTTGACCTGGAAGGTTAGTCAAAGTGCATTCGCTCTGACTGAACTGACGCGCGACATGACTTATCGAAAGTTATTGTCTCCTATACATTTTTGAAGTTCGTAATGGAATCGCTTGATAGCGAATGCATTTTGTCTAAAACCTCTATAGCTTAAATGAGTAGTCCGATATGACGAGTGAGAAGTCTATCGGATTCGTATTCTTGCCCTAAGTGTCATACAGTTAGGAGGTATTTTTGACGGGATTTTTAATGATTAAGGAAAAGAATTGTTCATTCAGATTATGTATGAAATGATTTCCGTGTTCTTAAATGTTGAAATAAACATTGACATAAGTGCTAACAGTAAAATTACGCGTACGTAAGATACGATAAATTCTATTTGTTTATCTCCCACGTTGACCGGAGATAATGTGAACTTGAACACTAGTGGCTGTTTATCTAAAATACTTCCCTATATCGTGATTCAATTGTTTTCCTTTCGAATTTAAAATATTTTTAATTAATGTTATCTGTATTTGGCTTAATTCAGATGTTAAAACATTTTTTGATAACTTTCGTTTGACAAAATTTGACGTTTTTTTTTGCCTGATCGAGTACGAATACTAATATGAAGTTGGATTCGTATTTTTTATTTTCATTTAAAAAAAAGTTTTTAGTTAAGCTTATTTAATAATGTATAAGCGACTTTCATGATTTTACAACACCCTATTCTATAATACAAAGTTTTGGTCTTTTAATAAGTGACAGTCCTTTTGATTGAGTTTAATTTAATTGTGTCTCGAAAACATATTTAAATGAAGTTGTTTTCCTGAAATTTTGATGATTTGATTAAGCTGGTTAGTTCAGTGAATCTCAAAAGGGTATTCTAAAACTCGAGATGGTCTCCGCTTCACACAAAGTTAGCATCGTTAGCGGACATTATTTTGAACTAAGCCCTCTTGATGTTTGTTTCCTTCGCGATAACAAAAAGGAAATATTGACCGAATTATACATTTGTTTTTTTTTTTAACTGGTCTTAAAAGAATACGCAAATACTGTTTTTACGAAAAGAAATATAATAATATCAATTACAAAAAAAATATTTTCATTTGTTTCAGTTAATTAAATATTTTTATAATACCAGGAACAACAAAGCTTTTTACGGATCTAATTTTATTTTAAATTACCGAAGGTGAATGAGGCGTTACTTTAAATTTGCTAATTGGTTTAAAGGTCGTGATATAATTTTAAATGGCATGTACGCTACGTGAAAATTAAAAAAACGTATTGTTTTAACCTCTACGCAGTCTCTACGAAAGATAAATAGGTTGCTACGAAAATACTTTTAAAAATATTTAAGTTTCAAGTTATTTTAAGAAGATGCTTATAGTAAATGATTAGGCTATATCGAATTTGCGGTGATCCATTAAATTGAAGAGGTGTGCCATACTTACGTATCATCGTTTCTCCGCCCACGAACGGCTGCGACTAATAAACCTTGACACTGGGCTGTAAACAAAATTTTGTGATATTTTTAGTTACCTATTAATTAGATTGAACGTAGACTTTGGCCGTTTTTCACGTTCAACAACCTAAAGTAGAACATATTTTTTATCTCTTTTGTTTTAATTCAAGCTAGTATTTAACTTAATAAATTCTAATTAAGCAACAGATTTATACAAGCGATAATAAAATTATTAGGTTAATCGTAGGTTGCTAAGATCAAAATCACCGTTTAAAACATATTGTTTTCTCTGTTTAGGTCAAAGATAATGACAGAGATGACGATATATTTTATACAAAGATTTTGGTCTCCAACGATACGAGAAATATGTCTAATTTTACT